ATTTGTGTGTTGTATGTTTGTCTCAACAGTTGTGCGTGGACCACTGCTGCTACAGATGTTCGTGTTTTAGCAACCAAGTCGCTCCGGACTTCAATTTGTGCTTGACGATCTACGCACGCCAGCTGAAGGAGAAAGAGACCCTCGTACAGACGTCTACAAAACTGCTGAAGGGAAAATTACGACAGTCACTCACCAGAAGTTACGGGCGTCTCTTGAGTGCGTACCTGGTACTTAGTTTTTGCAGAGCTGAAAGATTTCGAGCATTGTTCGTTGTAGAGCAATCGAACGCAGGGCAAGCATCAGTTCTTTTCCGTTGGCAGTACCTCAATTCGCTTGGACGATCTCAAACAACTGACCACCGCTTTCGAGCTTTCCCTCAGCTCAGGTTCGTTTGTCTCGTGCGCGTCACTGACATAACTTTGCTGTGGCATTTTCTGACGTTTTCCTGACAAGTATTACTGTATGCAAATTTTAAGTGAGATTCATGTGCCAGATGCATTTCGCATCAGTTTGATGGCAGGGGAACCTCCAATTCATCAGAAACGGTGTTTCATGAGCTAGTAATCCTTAACTGCTACAGCAAAAATCGGAATCTTGTTCTAGAAACTTTATGCGTCATTCGTCATACTGCTGTGCACGAACATATTTTGATGTTTATGCTTTATGCGGTTACTTGTAGGCAGCAAGAGCTTAAGCGGCATCATTCGCAAAGAAAACAAGGTAGCTCTTGGGAAAACTTCGCTACTTATTATGACACTGGATATCTCCACGTTTCATGGCGAAGTGGCCTGGTGATATGCCCCCCCCCTGTCCTGCCACATAAACTTAATCAATTATAAATCTTCTAAAGCGATAATAAATTATTCGTTGTTTACTTTCACGTAGTGCTCAGTTTTGAGACAAACATCAAAATGATGAATCTACGCTATTGTACAGAACCTTTTCATCCGTTGGTATTACTATTGTGATTATTTTATTTATTTTATTACTAACGATGATTTGATGTTTTTGCTCTGCTCTCAGCGATTCTTCATTGCGCAGTATCACAGCTCTGTGTATTAACGCTGTGACTATCGTCTTGTTTGTTTGAGAGGGAAAGTTAAGATGCATATAATTCCGTTCAATAAAACATAAACAGATTCCTAGTGATAATAAGGAAATAGATTGGTAGAAGCATAGAAAAATGTTTATTAGGCGAAGCCGTCATAACCCATAATGGTACTGCTGCTTTAGCGGTTCAGGGTTCAGTTCAGTTAATAAATAGAGCAATGGTAAAGGTAATTTAGGTAAACTGCTCACTGATACCTTACTGATAAAAACTCGATAACAAGTCTTGTTTTGCTAAGTTATCTCACTCCACCTTTTCTAACAGTACACTTAAATTAATCTGTTATGGTAAAGTATGTAACAGCTTTACACGCTTCTCAGCATTTCATTGAAATATTCTAATTTTTACGAGCTTTAGCTACCGATGACGTGATATCTTGCGTATTATTATTATATTTTGTTTTTTTTTCTTGGGCTGCTTCCTACGGTGACCAGCATTGCTTGCGAGATAACGCTGAGCGCATAATAGTTTTGCTACAGCAAGAACATCCTGTTTCGAACTGTAATTGCCCTGCTTTCATGGCTCCTGCGGTTGTTACTCTGATGGTCGTAAGAGGTCACATTTGTCTTCGTCCGAATATCAGACATGCCGGTGTCATCACGTTGAACCAGTTACGATTATATTTGTGTTTTTAGCGTTCTTAGTGCTGACTGCAGTCGGCTAACCCTATTGTTGTTTCAGCCAACTACGTTAAGTAGGCCACTATATGCACCGATTCTTAAACTGTTAATTACCGAATTAATTATACGTACAGTGAAATAATTAAGTCATATTAAAACTTTCCGTTCAGTAGACGGTCAATGTTCTCTGAGTCATGCGTGACATTAGCTTCAGGAAGGTCAGGTGTGGAAAGTTAACGTCTAGACCGGACAGATCTTTCAGTTTACACAGGTGTGGACACAAAGTACGTCAAAGGACGTAGTAGGTCAGTATCTCGGATGGCATGTACGCTGCTCCTCAAAATATTCATTTGGTCATGAGACCAATGAGATAATTAAAAGTTTCTGTCCTTGACTGTTATAAGAGATACTAATTTGAATCAGAGTACGGCATTAATTTTCTTGTATTAACTATTAATTGTGTTCTACACGGAATTTGCCTCACCGTTGCGGTGAAATCATGTGAGGTACGGATAACAAGTCGATAGCCTGTGAAAATTAGGATGACGTACTGTTCTGATGTTGCCATGGCAGAATCTGATGCTCGATCTATCGTTACATTTTTTTTCTCATGGGCACGCTTTACAGTCGAGAGACTCATTCTCACTTTATGGTGATTAAATTATTGCAAAGTATAACTCGTAACTAAGTAAATAGAACGTAAAGAAAAGAAATAATGACGGGAAGTTTTAATTCAAATTGGGCAACATAGGGCTGTCAGCGTAGAAACAAATTGTTCGATTGCAATTGTTAATTTAGCAAGACTCTGTTTCCTCTTTCCTCTAAACTGATTGGGCATCAGCTTCGGGATACAGCTCAAAATTATGAAACATTGACTTGTAGATGTTCGATTTGGTCTGCCGCTCTTCGGGCACATTTGCTGTGATATAGGCATCGAGCTACAGTCGGAAAAGTTGCCAAGGATAAGTGGAAGACTCGACTTGACGGTAGGGGTGTGTAATTCCTCTAAACTTCTATGCTCTGATGATTTGTTGCTGTTTAGAACGGAGTTCACGAATACAAAGACCTGTGGTGCATGTTGCACAGTTCCAAGCTCAGCGCCTATTTCGAACGGAATTCGAGCAGTTCTGACCAGCCTCTGTTCGTCATTCAAATCAGTGAGGTAGTCATAATAGCAGATCGATGAAAAGTTCTAAATGATCGGCGTAAAAGTTCAGAACAGCGTCGTAAGTTTCGATGAGGAGAACCGGCAAATAGTACTAGAGATGGGTAGCAGTGACGATTCGTTCGCCCTGTCCGCGTCGTCGCAGCATTTCCTCAAGCGCTGGTTCACAACCCTGGAAAAACAGATCCTTGACTGCAGTATACTTTGTTTTATGATTGTTTTTGTTTTTCTTTTAATATTTTTTGCTCTAAGAGCATTGGGGAAGATTCGCGAAGAACTGCTCGCCTCCTTTGTCGCTGACTGAAAGTCCGGAATTTGCGGTTCGCTACGACAGCGTTTCTGTCGATGACCTTTAAAGCGACATCGTCGACGGTGATCGACGTTGGTCCCTGAGTTTTGACCGTTTCTCCTAATAATTTCACTCTTGCTTTATGTATTATATGACAGCGCTAAGCGGCCGTGCAATTTTCACTTTTTACCTACTGGTGTAAAATTAAATGATTATTTATTGTTTGGACTTTCAATTTTATGAGGCCAAATGATTGGGTGAATATGATGGAGTGTCGTTGTATGGTTTCATTTTACTTCCTAGATACTTTCTTATGTACCATCCTCGTCAGTGAATGGTTGGCAGTTTATGGAGTCATTAACTTTGGCCGCTAACATGATCACAACGTCTCTAGTTTCTGACGTCTGTTGTATTCGCATAGTCAGACGATGTCTCAACACCAAGTAGGAAAACAGAAAATATGGGTTCGCTTGATCGCGTATGTTAACAAGTACATTACTTTCTAAACCTGGTATCAAGACACCGTTTTTTGCTCTTCCGTGTTAGGAGATAGGGACTTTCATGTAGATTGTTACTTCATGATATTAAGGATTTACAGGGAATGTGTTATCTGCAGAGTGGATTAATTCATACCGATATTAACTGAAGTTCGCTCACGGTAACTTTGCCTCTTAGTTCTGTTAGAGTTCTGTTTGATTCAGTGTTCCGAGAATAATATTACCATTGGAAAATCTGATTCCATTGTTGCATGCATCTGAGTTAGTCTCGATTATTTGTTTAGAGACCGATGCCTTAAAAGGATTGAATGCTTTTCATGGAAGAAGAGTGACAAACATCATTATGTATTATTATGCTTGAATGGCTTTGGCTTCCTGATCCACGGTTCAGGGCAACAGTTGAAAAGAACTATGTAAATTCTTTCATTAACCGATTTGCTTCGACGCCCGATACCTGCGCTATCATAATGGTAATGCAACGCAAATGAAAAAGCACGTTCTTGTAAAATTTTTGTTCCATGAATTCTTTCGAAGAAACTGTCAAATAACGTTGTAGCTCTTATTCAAACTAAACACCTCATGCGTTCGTTACACAGTCAATTTTTACCTATTAACATGTGAAATTATTTTCTAACAACCTCAGGTCGAACTTGAGGAGAGTCCAAGTACAGAGAATGAGAAACGATGCTCCACCGAATGCCTTGTTGCTCCATTTCAGAGCTGCTAGATGTTACTCAGCAATCTGATCTAATCTTCGTATGGTTTTTCTTTATGTAGATGTTACAGACTACTTCCATTTCATTCCCTCCGCTTGATGAAGTTTCCGTATTCTTGAACCTAATTTGCTAGGTTTTGTTGGATTTTGTTGCAGTTTCGGAATGAAGTCGAAGAATGACAATTGTCGAGCTACTATTATATTTGGACAATTATTTTTAACATTATCATTGTCTTGCTAATGATCAGGAGTTAACGTCGGTTTACGACTAAAGTTGTCTGGTTTCGGTTTCTACAGGCTTTCAGGCGTTTTGGTCAGTTAGGTACAAAAGGATTACAAGAAAGTCTTCTTCTCAGATGAACATGCCAACAAAAGATTACTCCTGACTATGCCTTTCGAAGATCTCCCCTTAAATGATGCATTTAATTACGTTTCTGTGAATGCCAAGCTTAATGCTACTTTACCCGTACCGATAAGTTTCCATTTACTGGTGCAGATAGTCTGTATTCTATTGTGTTCAGATTTTTGCAGGCTTTGTAAACTCATTTTCTCCCTTTTCATCGGATCCTAGTTTGTAAGCAATTTCTCGGTTAATGACTCACGGATATTGCACATCATCGTTACTGAGACGTTCAAGTCATTCAATATTTGGATTGGTTCGCTTTCCGCGACATGCACGAGAGACTGATTCTTGGAGGACCTTAGAATGAATTATTATTTGGCTAATTTTCAAGTTTTGGGCTCATTATCCCCCTCAGAATTTAAGCACCCACATTACGAAGCAAAACTGCATTATTATACTGGGTGCATAACATTCTTTACAAATTCAATTCCGGCTGAAATGTTACTACAAAAGCGTCTTTTTTCGGTGTTGCATCCTGGCGCGGTAGAAAACTATTTAAACTGTTCCTTAGGCAGCTACAAGTAAGGGTAGGAGAAGCCTAGCCTTTCAAATCCAGTGTACTGACATCATATTGTTTGGGCGATACGGTCGATTACCATTGTGACAGTGACCCAGATTCTCGTTTTCAAGAAGAGTATAACTTTGCTGTTGCTTAGTCGTGGGTATTTCTGTCGAATATTGTCCTTATCTCTGTAACGTAAAACTAGTCTTATCATAGCGACTGTCTTTGAGCTCCCGTCGTCATAACTGGTTAATATGTTTTTTTTTCGTACCATAACTTTGAAGTCATCGAATATATCAATCCTCATTGTAAGCGTGAGAGAAAAAAATAAATTTTTTTTACACGATAACTCCTATTCTCTGAAGTGATAACGATGATTAGCCGAGAGAAAGAACGGAAGATCCTGATAATATTTGTCGGGTGCGGTAGCACTGCTAATTACCATTGCAATCCACAATTTCGCATTCATGTAGCCGTTTGTAATTATTGGATGTATGCGTTGTTGATACTGCTTTTGTTGTTTTTGCGCTGATATCAAAATAAAATGAAATATGAACTTTGTATGGTGCAAGAAAATATGCTTATATGTACGAAATACTCCTTGCAAACATTTCGTAGTTTTACGCCCATCGTTGAGCATCCGTTTTGGCCAGCAGCAAGTACACCACGCCACCAATGGCATAAAACCCGGCGATTATGTAGAATACGATCTTCCACTCCGACGGGGTCTACGAAAGGAATACAGCTTATCAGGAAAGACTGTAAGATGAAGATGCTGCTACGAATAGAGCAAAGACAATTGTTCAGTACGAGTAATAACCAGTTCATTCAGAGTTGTTTGAAAGATTTATGGTTCAGGAAACCAAATGCAGCAGATGGTAAAAAACAGTTTAATTCTAACACGTTTCACTTCATCATCATGGCCGCATCACCATCAGGGGTGGACTGAGTGCAAATGACACCTTGGAGGTATTTTTGTCCAAGAAGCGGACAGTACCGATTTGTCAATTGGCTTATCACCTACAGTCAAATCGTTGCTACATTGTCTGAATAAAGTATAATGACACCAGTTTCAAATTCGTGAACAATGCCTACTACCAAACGCATAGCGTTCCTTCGGGCTCCCCGTTGAGTGTTGTCTTACGCGATCTTTATATGGAGGTAAAAGTCCTTAAAGAATACCCGACCACTCTTCTATGTCCGATTCGCTGATGACATTTTCCTTTTATTCCGAAGAAATGAGGACGAACGTAAAAGACTGGAATGTTTCGTGAATTACGTGAATGAACAGGACAAAAATGGCCCAATACGTTTTAACCACTCTATCCTTTCTGGACATGATGGTGAAAAGGAACCTATCGTTTGAATTTGAGGTCTCTGTGTATCGGAAACCCACACACTCCGGATACCTACATCTGGCGTCATGCGTCCCTCATGGATTACTTAGGAACGTTGTG